GCTTTTCTGCTGCTAACAATTTTATCTAATAAACATTTACTTACATAGCTGAATGTTTTTTCTCAGCAAATTATCTGGTGGTAAGGTTATAAAAAGTTTAATAGTTCTTATGTAGCTTACTGTTAGAGCACCCACAGACTTGTAATCATCATCCCTACCACCTTTCTGAGCCTAAAATCAGCCTACTTTCACATGTTCTGAAAATTTCTAGCATAGCCAAGATGGAAAAATCTTACAATGTGATGGCTAATCTTTTGTGTGTCAGTTTGAGCTAAGGATCCAAGAAAGCTGGTAAGACACTGTTCCTGGGTATGTCCAAAGAGATGTTTCTGAAGGAGATCAGCATTTGAACCAACAGAGCAAAGAAAGATTTTCTCCCAGTGTACAGAGCATCATCCAATCCCATGAGGGCTGGAGCACTAGAAAGGCAGAGGAAGGGTGAACCGCAACATCAGTACTCCTGGTGCCTGGGCAGACTTGGACACCAGTGGTTTTCCTGGGCCTCTGGTTTGCCGTGGGCAAGGCCATGGGACTTCTGAGCCTCAATAATCACATGAGCCAATCCCTCATACTAAGTTTCTATATATGCTGTTCTTTTCTCTGGAAAAACTTCACTAATGTGCTGATGTATTACATGACTAAATGGTGGCAGCATGAGGGCCTGGATCCTACTCAGATGAGTAAGAAACCGTACCCACCACCAAACTGCTCATAGTGCCCATACTTTGGAGGCTTCTGAACTGTATAAATGGAATGCCATAAAAAGTTGGAAACTTGCTACAACAAAAAGACATCAAGAATAATGTGATTTTAATTGTATAAGTTCATTTGCAAACTCACTTTTGATTTCATGGAAGTAAAATGAGGTTTAAAGTACTACTTGAAATGAATTGGCTTAGCAGTTGTAAGGACAGTTTTAAGGGTCTCTTTACCTGAGCTGGGATTGTGGCTCAGTGGTAGAGCGCTCTCCTAGCACTGGCAGGACCTGGGTTTGATTCTCAGCACCACATAAAAATAAAGGCATTGTGTTGTGTCCATCTACCAAAAAAAAAAAAAAAACTCTCAAAAAAAAAAAAAGGGTCTCTACCTGAAAAATTTAGCATATAAAGAGCACCAAGGGCTGGGGCTATGGCTCAGTGGTAGTGCACTTACCTGGCATGTGTGAGGCACTGGGTTCAATTTTTAGCACCATATATGAATTAAAAAAAAAACTAAGGTCTATCAACAATAAAAAAAAAAAATACCAAATGACCCTAGAAGGTCGGGAATTGCATTTGGAAACCCCAGATGTCTATGGTCAGTGAGGGTATGTAATGTAGGTGGTGCTCAAAGACAAGGTAAACCAGGGCCACTGGGCCAAATCGGGCTCACTACCTGTTTTTATGATGAAAGCCTCTAAGCTAAGAATGGTTTTTACCTTTCAAAATGAGAGGAATCAAAGGCTTCCACAGGAAAACCAGCAATCCAATTCCAGGGTTGGGGCTTATTAGAGCAGCATGCCCTTCCCTGTGCATGCCATCTGTGCTCCCTGTCACTGCAGGAGCCCCGGGCTGCACAGTGAGACCAGCTGCTACCCAGAGCCTCTGTCCTTCACTGCCTGGCTCTAGGAAGTCTGCTGTCGCTCTGGCACTGCACTCTAGACTGGACAGGTTTAATCAGGAACACCTGGGGTAACATGAGCAGTGATTCCAAGCACCCTTGAACTTTAAATTGACTTCCATTTCCCTTAAACAGGACGCACGGGAAGGGGAGTGGGGAGAGACAATTCACCAATGCAAAATTCAACCATGTTAACTTAAAACACTTTATCTTAAAAACTTTTGAACCAAAAGAAAATGATTTTACATGAAAATATAATTCTGAAGACAAGTATTCTAAACATTTCAATAATGCTTGCCTGTATTATAAAAAGTTATAACATGAAAATATCTATAAAAATATTAACAGGCACCTCAGAAGTAGAGACTTTACAGGGGAATGATTAGATAGTATGTATGTTTTGAATCTACTTGGAGTGCTGAATCAACAAAACCAAATGGTTTCTGATTTGTTTAGTACCAAATGGGGAAGTTTCTTAAAAAATGAATAGTAGGTTAAAAGGCAAAATTGGATACTGCTATTTAATGTTTGCAACTAAACCGGATGTTGAAAAGGTACATTTAACTTATAAAATCAGAAATTAGTGTAAATGTTTCAGTTAATATATTTCAAACTGAACATCTTGACCAAATAGAAGTTAATACGAGCCCACAGTTTTTGAAAGCTATTAAAAAATACTTGAAGCCCCCATCTTTAGTACTTTACATTATCAAAGCAGCAATGAAAAACACTGACATTTCAGATACAGTTCTATAAACCTTACATTACTTACAAACCTTCCATTATAAAAACTTAAGTTTTCTTAAAAGATGATAAAAATTTGAGTTGATATTCAACTATTTCTAAATTGAGAGCATATAAAAAGGTAAAAAAGGATGGTGAGAAGTTCTCTATAGGCAGAAGACAGTCTTGGTGGCCAAAGTCAAAGGGCTAGGGTTAGCTTTTATAATCAATTATCTAAAAGTATTCATTTTAACCACTTAACATTTTGGAAAAATTTAACACAATTTATGGAATTGGACAAGATATTAAACTTATTAGTTTACTGAATTATAAATTCTCAATTCTCTGGAATAGACACTATAAAACTATTCTCAATCCCAATCAGGTTATCAGCTTAGTATAAAATAAACTGACAACTAAGGAGATAAGGGAGTTGTTCTCGCTCCTAAGTTCACCATATGAAAATCCCTATGATTTTTAAAGAAAGCCCTCTCCATGAAGGTAGCCGGGGTAAAATGATTTGAGAAAGAAAAAATTTTTGGAAGGGTGCCCAAATTAGATACCCATTTCATTAAAATTAAACCCTCTATATGGAAGACAACGTTAACCTGGAAGCCTGCGTAGTAAAATGAGTTGACAACCTAGGAGTGTAAGACTGGAGCAAAGAGAACTTGGGCAGTTTGACAGTCCCAATTAAGAGGACTCAAGGTTAATTCCTAACATTGGTTATTAGCAGCCCAAAGCAAATGTAACCAAAATAAAAGTCTTTCACATTTCACGTAAAATCAGAAAGAAAAAAAAAAAAGGAACAAGATAAATAGATATACTTAAGTTCACACTTTTGACTTCTCAGCTCGTGGCTAATATTTACGAACACATATAATGGTTAAAGGCCTATTTACGTTAGCCAGATACTCTGAAGATATATGTTCTAAGGAGAAAAATTAGTCCTGACCTTGAAATTTTAAAAAGTGTTAATCATTAAGGCAATTTTCCCCAAGATTCTACAAAACTCAAGGTCATTTTTTTTTTTTTTAAGACACTTGAAGGGCCCAGGCGTGGAAGAAATCGGGAACAAACTGATGAAACCTTTAGGCTACCATCAAAAAGTGCTCTTAAAGGCAGACTCTGCTTTGACCTGACAACCCATGTGCTGCTGGCATGCAGACGGGCAGTTCCCGTGGAACTGGTCAGTTTGATACTATGGGTCTACTAGCCATGTTAGACGGGGACAAATCTAATTTTTATTCAACTGTTATATATGGCAAATAGTATTATATATTCCCTGACTTGCTATTTTTCAAGGCATGCCACGATATTCAAAGTGAATTTCCAAAATATCCAATAATTGATCATTATAGAGCAAAACATTTTAACATTATATTTATATTCGTGTGTGTGTATGTATATATATGATTTTTAAAATGCCACAGATTTGATTTTCTTGGTCACTAGGAATATCTTCATGGCCTCTAAGAATAAGCTGGTGGACTCCATCATGTACCTGCTACAGTGCATGCTGGACTTGTGGAAGGACAGGGTGGGCCAAGGCCATCATGTGACAGGTCCTACGCTTCTATCACTCTGAGTTGGTGAACGGCTGTGACAAGAGCCAGTCTTCTCTGGAAAGCAGAGCTTGGGCCTCTGATGGTATTTCAGTCTGTACGTATCAGTCATGCAGCTGTCAACTGAAAAATAGGTAGTTAATGAGACGGTCTCACTTGGGCACGGAGAACTAGAGTCCAGTTCTGGCTGGCAGAGTGCATCAGCAACTGTAGTTGAGTTTGCCCGAAACCCACAAGCTGCAGTGTTGAACAGGCAGGGGGCTCTGCTGCCCGTGCGCATCTTCACTTGAAGGGTCTCTCTGCATCTCAGGTGGTCCGCATGTGTACTGAGTTCTGAACCTGGCTCTGACACTGCGCTTGGCCTCGGGGGACCACTGAACACCCCTGAAAGTCTGACGTCAGGCACAGACTCACTCCTCTCCGACTGTGGCACAGTAGTAACAGCATGTTTCTTTGGCGGCAATGCGGGTGGCAGAAGCTGACAAAGAAGTTCTGGCCCCTGGCAACCATCACATCGGCAGGCTGGCTGAGCCACATGTCCCGTGGAAGGAGAGTTCTCATAGTAGCATGGCTCTATCCTGGTCTGCTGCGGAACAGCATCCGGCTTTGGGCCGACAGCCCTGGAACGTGCAGAACAGGATGAAGACGGGGAGGCCACTTCACTACTGTTCACTCTCTTTCCAGGCGAACTGTCACCGAGGTGAAAGGGCAAAGCTGCCCTCTCAGAATGTTCTCTACTAAGCCACTCAGACAAGCGGCCTCCATTCGGTTTTTCAGATTCCCGATGACCTGACTGGTGGGTGTGCTCAGTGTGGTCCTTGAGTATTTGGGGGCCAGGTGAAGGAAGGCAGTTTCCACTGGTTTCACGGGCATGTGGCCTAACATACAAAGATAAAAGCAAAGCTGAAACACCTTATGCAATAGGTGAAACTAGGGAATAAACATTTCTCTATTTGGGTTTTTCCAATGCATGGTTTATATTATTTCTGCAACACAATAGAAATGGGAAATATTATGCCACCCACAATATGCTAATGCTCACCAGAAATGCTCATCATTACCAGATTCATATTTCTTCTCTTCTCTTTTTGTGTGGTGCTAGAACAGAACCCAGGGCCCTGGGTAGGTACTTTGCGACTGAGCTGCACTTCCACCCGCAAATCACATTTCTCACCGTTAGAAATGTACATTAAAGTTCATTTCACTGAAATTACATTTATCAGTGATGAAATACAGCACAGAACTTACAGAAAATGCTACAGACAATTCAATACTCTACATTGTTCTCGCCCCTTTCTAACACTGAAAGGCAACAGGGATGAAGATGTTTAAGATCTTATATCAACACTTTAAGGATGGTGAATAATTAATTTAACTTAATCAAAATTATCTTTGATAAAGTAATAGCTAATTCCTAAGGTGGAGATAAATCATATGTTTCAGATTTTTTTTTTTGGTAGCTGGGATTGAACTCAGGGGCACTTGGCCACTGAGCCACATTCCACCCCTATTTTGTATTTTATTTAGAGACAGGGTCTCACTGAGTTGCTTAGCACCTCACTTTTCCTGAGGCTGGCTTTGAACTCATGATCCTCCTGCCTCAGCCTCCCAAACCACTGGGATTATAGGCGTGGGCCACCGCACCCGGCTATGCTGCAAATTATTTGTTTCATGATTTCTCCTATGAATTTTTCCTATGAATTCATAGAACTGAACTAGAGAGGAATGGCTAGGTAGATGCAGTTATCAAATCTCAGCTCCACTGCTTTGAGCAGATTACTTAATGTCAACCTCAAATTTTCTCATTTGTAAGATATAGCAGTTCCCCCTCCTCCACGGTTTCAGTTACCCACGGTTGACGTCAGTCTGAAAACACTGACTAGAATATTCCTAAAATAAATGACCTGTGAGTTCTAAACCGCACACCCCTGAGTGAGCAGCGTGAAGACCCCGGGCCGGCCTGCCCAGTCTGCTCAGCCTCAGTGCCTCAGTGCCCGGAGCACTCGGTCTGCCTCGGTGCAGGTACACGTGGGCTCTGAAGCTCAGCAGGGAGGCTGCAGCCATGCAGAAGCTCAGCAAGGCGCTGGCCACGGGAGGGAGCAGGACGTCTCCTTCAGGGAAATCAGACAGTCTGAGGTTGCCATGATCTAGACTCTTCTGTACAATCTCGAAGGAAACAGAAAGTCGTGCTGGTTTTGCTGTCACATCTCTAACAAAGTCACAGCCATGGGGGCATGACAAGCGCCTGGTATATGCAAGAGAAGCGCAGTGTGTGGAGGGAGAGCTTGGTGCTCTGTGAGGTTCTGGGCACTCACTGGGTGGGATCCTGTACCCTCCTGCCCTGGCCGTGAGGGGCCACTGTGCCCCTCCTCACAAGAACACCATGTCAGAACAGTGACGTGCTGCTCCTGGCACCTTGCAGGCCCGCCGCCCACGGGTACAAACCCTCCGGTGAGTCCCACTGTTCTAGGGGAGAAAGGCAGATCTATGCCTTCCTGATGAACGAAGAATCCCTATACCACGGGCATCCGCGAGGAAAGGGCTTGGCATTCCCAAGCGTCAGCATCACCTTTTCACCAAATGACTTTTTACTTGCAGATGTGGTCCTGGGTGGAGCTCACGGGATTTACAGCCTGCTTCCAAGTCCTTATGTTCTCTTCTAAAACCTGGGTTGAGAGAGGGAAAAAGAGGAAAACAAAATTATTTACATGGTCTTATAGAAATCATCCCATGTATTTATTTATTTAATATTTATTTTTTAGTTTTAGGTGGACACAATATCTTTATTTTCATGTGGTGCTGAGGATCGAACCTGTGCCTCGCGCATGCCAGGCGAGCGCGCCACCACTTGAGCCACATCCCCAGCCCTATCCCATTTATACTTATGTCAAGTTTTTGTGTAAACCAGGCAATTCTCTTCTAATTTAAAAACAAACAAAAATGAATTCTTGGAGACTTAACTGAAAGCATCACCCCTTTTCTGAACTAACTCCTTTCTGCGATATCAGTGATCCCTGCACTGGAGGGTATTCCTGCTGGGTCACGTGGAACTCTGTGTTCCCTTACAGGATCTTTACTGAGGAAGTGCCGTCAGTCAGCTTTGCACCACTGTGAACAAAATGCCCAACAAGAGCAGCTCAGGAGGAGGGAGGCTCCTGGTAGCACCCACTCCCGGACATTTACTCCTCCTCGGCCAGTGCACGGCTCTGTGCCCCAGGCGAGGCAGTGGGTCTCAGAAGCAGGGTGTGATGGGGCAGCACTGCTCCCCTCAGGGAGATGCCCCCATGACCCCCTCTACAGCCGGGCCCCACCTGCCCACGGCCACCACCCAGTGGGTCAACGCTGGCCTGCACTGATCAGGCGCCAGCTCTCACAGCCCCTTCCTCTGAGCACCCCTGCATTCGCAGGCGCTCTGGGGAGCCTCCTACCCCACCCCAACAGTGCTGAGGTCAGGTGACCCGGCTCACTATGAATCCTCTGATTATGGGCTGGTAGCTTTACACAAGCCTCTTCCTCATCCACGGTTTCCTCCTTTATGGAACGGATGATAACACACTTTAACTGCTTCACAGGATTCTGGGGAGGGTCAGTGAATTACAGGGTGGGACGGAGCTATGACCACAGAGAGATACCCCAGCACCCAGGAGCTACTAGTCACCAGCTGTCCACGGATTGCGTGTGGGTCACCGCACACCGAAGCCTAGTGGATAGAGACATCTGGTGTCTGGGAATGACCAGTAAACATTTTCTTTGGCCATTTCCCCAGACACACAGTGAATCTCTATCCTGACTCACGCCAATCCTGGAGTTCAGCCAGTTCCCCTGCCCAACTCCCGTGGGACAAGGGACCCTAAAAATCCCTTTTCCTGTCCCCAGCTCTTCCCTTCCTGCCATGAGCCCCATTAAATCCCACACAGTTCCTCCTTAGGCCCTTCCCTGACCACTCTGTCGGTCTGACTGAATTCCACCCGGGGATGAGTCTCAAGTAAAGCCTCCTTCAGGGCTCTTTTTAAACCTGCCTCCTTTGGTCGCTGCCCCCCTTGCCTGTCTCACAGGTGTGACGGCCAAGAGGCCAATCAACCCGTTGACTGCAAGACACCACACAGGAGACTGGGCCCAGAAGCCTCATCCCCGCCTGGGATGAGCAGCTTCCATCAGCCCTAGGAGCCTCTTTCCTTAGTCTAGTTCCTCCTGAAGCCAGAATCGGTCGTATAGACAGGAAAATCAGGTCAGCTCAGGTGAGTCAGGCCAGTTTTGCCCAGGGGTTGAGATGTTACTCCTTCAGGGCCCTTCCTCCACCCCTCCACCCTCCAGCCGGTAGCTAAGGTCGCCTGCCCCAGGAATGCCCCCTCCCGACAGGGAACACAAGGTTGTTAGTGTCCTGGGCGGTCCACCCTGCCCTTCCCCTTTCGGCCCACCTGTTTCTCACCTTTGGCCATCCCACTGGGCATTCCTGGGCCTAGTCACGGAGGCAGGAAGGAGAAAGATAAGGGAGAAAAGGCAGGAGAAGAAAAGACGCCTAGGACATACAACAAGGGCGAACACCTCGCCTCCTGGGACACCAGGACACCAGCTATGGCCCCCTTCTCCCTCCCTGGAGAAGTCTGTTTCCCCTTTTTAAATAAACCCTGCTTTATATGCTTGCCTCCGCGTGCTTCTCTAAAGTCAGACTCCAGCACGGGAGTCACCGGTAACCCGCCGCATCACAGCTCTCGGGTGGATGGGACGCATCAGGGGCTCCGCTTTTGTTGATACTTTCTGACTCTGTGTTTTGTTCCTCTCTAATCATTTTAGACTTCTAAGTTTCCAGGCGGCTTACACCTTTCTTGGCACGAGACGCTGGCAGTCACCCCTGTTAGTTTATGTTACTTAATATCTACAGCAACCTTATGAAGGAATCCTAGAAGTTTTGCACATGAGGAATCAGAGGCTTAGCCAGGCTAAGGAGTGATCCAAGATCTCACGGCCACCAAGGAACCCTGAGGCCCCAGCTCTGATGTGCAACAGGCACCAAACCAGTTAGACATGAGTTTCAATAAAGTCACAAGAGAATCATATGCAGTTGGACTCGTGAATCCAAGCCTGGTAGGCCGTGAGGTTTCAGATTCAGAACCCATCATTTCACCTGCGTGCGGCCTCCTTTTTAACCACAGCTACTAGGACCAGGGCCTCCCACAGGAGCCACCCTGCTGCTGTTGCCCTTGCAGGACACTGGAGGAGGGTCCACAGAAGGTCAATGCCCAGAGAAAAACACTACCCACATCAAGACCTCGCTCTACAAAATAGTACTTCAAAACAGCTCTCAAAAAATGATTTTAATACATCTAAATGAAACTAATTTCCTTGTCATAGGTGAAGTAGATCCGACCCATTACACCTGTGGGAACTAAGGACTGTTTCATAGGGTACAGATGAAGGGAGCGGAAACATCTGGATTTTTTAGGAGTTTCACCTACTAGTGTGATAGTAGGAGCAAATGTGACTCCATTTTGTTTTATGGCTTCATCCTGTAAAACAACCATGCCAACTACAAGGGTCAGGCCTGGAGCAAGATTTCTTTTCCTTTTCTTATAGAAACCTTTAACATTAGCAACTACCTAATGGGGCATTGTTCTGTAGCTAGGTAACGGGGCTCTGTTTCTGTAACTGGGGTGACTGGGCTAGCTGTGATTGGTTAGGCTTCCCGCCACTTGACTGCACTGTCCTGCTTCTGTAACCTGGCTGGCTTGCATTGGCTAGACCCCCCCCGAACATCCCTTTTGTGGTTTTCAGGCTTATAAGGAGTGCCCTTGCAATTGTTCGGGGCTGATCAGGGGAACAGCTTTATGTTCTGGTCAGCCGCCACCAGTGTGCTTCAATAAAGGCTTGATTGATTTTATGTGAGTGGTCTGGAAGTCGGTTTATGAAACCCTGGGACAAAGCTTTAACTATAACACTAGCATCCCAGTTTCTGGGACAGCAAAGGCTTCATATATGAGAATCAACTCCTTCATTTGCTAAGCAGGAGGGACCTGCAGCTACTGTTCACGGACAGAAAAATTGCCTGAACCAGGGTATAAAAGCAACACAGAAGTAACTTTGGAGTGTGATAAATTTGTGAGTGCCACACCACTCACCTGTCTTGGAAACCAAACCCAGAGACTGCAGAGTGAGCCATGTTCCTACAACATTAGTACAATTTTCAGAAGGTATAGGATGTACCAAGTGTCACATCACCCAATGCAGGAGTTTCCAAAGTGTGGCCACGAGGGCTGCCAGGACCCCCCTCCCAGGCTACGCAGTCCAACTGCTCTCACTCTGCCCCCAAGAGGCCAGCTGTCTCCAAGCGTGCTGACATTCACACTGGCAGAGCACACCAGTCAGACAAGGCTGCCAGCGTGAGACAGGAGCGAGTCCCAGCAGCAGGGACTGTGGCCTTCACAGCCACACACTTGTGGTCTTCAAAAAGCCAGTCTCATTGAAGCACGTTTAACGAAGCACGACAAAATGCTTCATTCTATTAGTTAATCTATATGTTTTGAATTATTTGGGTGCATGGAAGAAGGAAGCATACATAAAGCGCTTTTTTTTTTTTTTGCTTCTCTTTTCTGGTGCTGGGGTTTGGACCCAAGCATGCATGCTCTACCACGGAGCCACATCCCCAGTGTTTTGGTTTGAGATGGGGCCTCACGGGGTAGCCCAGGCTGGCCTTGAACCTTGCTCCTGTTGCCTGTGCCTCCTGAGCCACAGCATCACAGGCGTGCCAGCATGGTGGGCTTGCACGAAGTGCCCTTGGTGCCTATCTTGACATGACGGCTGTTTCAGGAACAGCACTCATGGGACAGTTTGAGCAGTGAGCTGCACCCAGCAGGTTTCTCCATGGAACCCACTTGTACCCCAGGAGGTGCAGACAAACTGGGCACTCAGACTTGGGTTCTGCAGAAATGCTCTTGAAAATGAAGGAAGCGAACATGCCACCTAAAGGAAAGGGCTGGTGCAGTTCACCGCAGCGACGACTCGAGCCTCTGGAGGAAAGTCAGACTGCCTTTTTAACAGTGGGGACACAGCAATTTCCAGGGCTTACCAACTGTGCCTGGTAGCTGTGGTGACATTAACCAACGGGGTTCTGAAAAGACCGTTCAGTGAACAGCACTGGCACCGGCAGACTAGCGTGGCCTGGCAAGACGGGTTTCTCAGGGGACGACACAGAGGCTGGAAGCTGTGCAGCAGAATGGCCTCCAGGGTGTCAGGGAGGCCAGCATCTGTCACTGAGCTGCAGCATCAGAGTCACCTCCTGTGGGTCCAGAGCCCTCTGAGCCAGTCTGGAGGGCACTGCCTGTGGTGGCGTGCTGCAAACCAAGAACCACTGTCTTCCCACCCATGTGTGGACAGATGAGCACCAGAGCAGGTGACGGCTACAGCAGGCGTGAGCAGCAGCAGACGCAGTGGTCATGCCAGGTGTCTCGGGGGCGGAAGACTGCCAATCAACCCCAGTCATCTCACTGGTAGTGTTTCCTTGGAAACAGTTATTTTCCACTTGAAATGTTATTTACGTCAGCATGTAACAGCTTTATCCTTCTCCACATGTATTTCCTAATGTCTCACAGAGCAAATACTAATGACCTAATCCACAGAAACAAAAGTCCTCTGCGGTCACCAATCCTCTTTCACAGTGCCAAGAGACCCA